TACTAGTAACAAAGGGCATCGCTACTAGGAGCAAGGACGCTACTAGTAGCTCCTGGAATTACTACTAGTAACAAGAAGCTACTAGTAAAAAGGGGCGTCGATACTAGGAGCAAGGATTATAATTACTAGTAGCTCCTGGCAATGCTACTAGTAACAAGAAGCTACTAGTAACAAAAGGCATCGCTGGAACACTACTAGTAGCTCCTGGCATTACTTCTAGTAACAAAAATCCACTAATAACAAAGAGCATCGCTACTAGGAGCAAGGACGTGGCTAGTAGCTCCTGGCATTACTACTAGTAACAAGCAGCTACTAGTAACAAAGGGCATCGCTACTAGGAGCAAGGACGCTACTAGTAGCTCCTGCCGCTACTACTAGTAACAAGAAGCTACTATTAAAGAAGTGCATCGCTACTAGGAGCAAGGACTAGTAGCCCCTGGGATTACTACTAGTAAGAAGAAGCTACTAGTACAGAAGTGCATCGCTACTAGGAGCAAGGACGCTACTAGTAGCTCCTGGCATTCCTACTAGTAACAAGAAGCTACTAGTAACAAAGTGCTTTGCTACTAGGAGCAAGGACGCTACTAGTAGCTCCTGGCATTACTACTAGTAAGAAGAAGCTACTACTAACAAAGGACATCGCTACTAGGAGCAAGGACGCTACTAGTAGCTCCTGGCATTACTACTAGTAACAAGAAGCTACTAGTAACAAAGGGCATTGCTACTAGGAGCAAGGACACTACTAGTAGCTCCTGGCAAAACTACTAGCAACAAGAAGCTACTAATAGCAAAGGGCATCGCTACTACGAGCAAGGACACTACTATAGTAGCTCCTGGCACTACTACTGGTTACAAGAAGCTACTAGTAACAAGGACGCTACTAGTAGCTCCTGGCATTACTACAAGTAACAAGAAGCTACTATTAAAGAAGTGCATCGCTACTAGGAGCAAGGACGCTACTAGTAGCTCCTGGCAATACTACTAGTAACAAGGAGCTACTAGTAGCAGAGGGCATCGCTACTAGGCTACTAGGAGCAAGGACGCTACTAGTAGCTCCTGGCATTACTTCTAGTAACGAGAAGCTACTAGTAACAAAGGGCATCGCTACTAGGAGCAAGGACGCTACTAGTAGCTCCTGGCATTACTTCTAGTAACAAGAAGCTACTAGTAACAAAGGGCATCGCTACTAGGAGCAAGGACACTACTAGTAGCTCCTGGCAATACTACTAGTAACAAGAAGATACTAGCGGTGAAGGTACGTTTCTGCCGGCGAAGTGGACTTCATTATTTGGAGGTCAAGTGGTGTGTTTCTACAGCTGGTGAAGTCTAAATGTGGAAAGTTGGTCTAACAATTTACCACACTTTACCGCATTACAAATACTACATTGCACTAATCCCCACTCCCTATTGCTAAACATGGGGCCCCTTATTGTTTTCTCTCAACTCAGCTTCTTGCTTTTTACACGTGAGCAGCTGGTGAACGTTGCATGGAAAGTGACATTCGTCACAGTTCAAACACGAATCGGCAACTTCTGCGCGCTCTCCACTAGCACAAATTCTTCTTTGACTCATGTGGCAGAGTCAGGCGTCACTCTTTCACCTCCAAACTTAGAAATCCATGTGGCAGGATTTCTGTGATGCTCAAAAGATTCGTTGCTCGATTCAAAAAGAGAACTCTATTCCATAGGGCCGGGTGTGGGGGGCCCTCTTGAGTTCAAAATGACGAGAATTCACGAAAACCTTCAAAGACTGGTTTCGAGAAAATGGGTTCCTATCGGATCCTATCGAACGACCATTCTCTCAACTCAGCTTCTTGCTTTTTACACGTGAGCAGCTGGCGAACGTTGCATGGAAAATGACATTCGTCACAGTTCAAACACGAATCGGCAACTTCTGTGTGCTCTCCACTAGCGCAAATTCTTCTTTGACTCATGTGGCAGAGTCAGGCATCACTCTTTCACCTCCAAACTTAGAAATCCATGTGGCAGGATTTCTGTGACGCTCAAAAGATTTGTTGCTCGATTCAAAAAGAGAACTCTATTCCACGCCTCCCTGGTGCTCACCAGCTCGTCTTTAAAGACGAAGAGGAGTAACCAATAAAATTGCGATACCACCGAAAAAGCTTTTTGGTCTTTCGGCTGCGGTGCAAATTTGCCAGCACTGTCATACCGTCTGAGATGTACAATCGGGCCGAATTCGAATTGCGCCATCGACCCTTCATGAGGATAAGTTCCATGGGTGTTTGCTGCCGATAGAGATGGGTGGCTCCACCCCTTCGGAGTGAACACGGGCGGTACCCGCGGCTTTCAAGGCCGAAAAAGGCAACAAGCTTTTCAAACTGGGATTGAAACTCTTGGTGGGAACGCTGCCAAATCAACCCTCTTCGAGGGGAAAGAGACAGAAGGGTAGCTGCCAAATGCAAAACTCCCGGTTCCCGAATGACGACATGCTCGCCAGGTCCTAATCTATTGCTAGTCTTCGTGGCGAAGCTCATTAACATTAGCTCACCCGTACGGAACAGGCCGAAGAACCCTGCAGCTAACAGGAAAGCCATCGGTACGTTTCCAAGTTCCGCCATGCGGCTGACCATTGCCCATAGGAACGCGCAGCTGAGCGGCGTAGCTTGCCAGCTTCTTTCGTTCTTTCGCCACAAGCCAAAAAGATGCCAGCTGTAGCTCAACTGCTTCCTAAGGAATGGCAGGAAGGTTTGGATTCCGCTCAGAAGATCTCCGGCGAATGACACCGACTCACCTTGCTCATACGCATACTCTAAAAGATCTCCAAGGGCGAGATCGAACGAAACGAGGTTTTCATAGTCCTCACTCAAGAAATCCCATTCCTCAAAAGCCTTGTGCGCGGCCTCCCGATACCGCCGAAGAGTGCTGTCCTTAAGGCCTATCTGCGCCAGGCTGCAACCTTCTCTCTTCTTACGGCGCCCTTCTTTGGTCTGCGTCTTTCTCACACGCTGCTTCATCGTGAGGCGGCGTCAGTGGGGTTCTGCATGCTGTCAACGTGGACAGAAAGGACATACATATTATGAAGAAGTTGAAGTGAGTTGATCTTCCGGGCGATATAGGCCAATGCTTTGCTAGAGGTCCTACCCGTACTTAGTATAGAAATGCTCACCGCTGAATCGCTCAAGTGGAGGACTCGCATGTTGCAACTGGGAACATGTTCTAGGCGCCACTGTATACTAAGTAATATTCCTCTGAGCTCTAGCGCATTGATGTGCTCTTTGCACTGCCATCTCCGTTTCAGGGTGATCTGCCATTCCCAGAAGTTTGCCGGGACACTTTGTCGAGGATACAGTTTAGGGTTTGTTGGTTGCCCAACACATACTCTGATATCGCTTCCATTACGCGACACCTTCCGAGCCATGTGTCGCACCAGCCGGTCTGCTGCATCACTCAACCCCTCAATCTCCGCCGACGAACTCCCGAATGGTGTCAAAGTTCCTAGGGGTGTGGTCCTGTCTAAAGCAACACAATTCTCCTGGAAACATGCCTAGCCTTTGTCGATAATGTCTTGGACTTCGTCTAGTGACCCATCGCTCAGCAGCACTAGCGGCAAATAGCCAGAAGGTATTGGCTGGAAAGGCATCCCCGACCAAACTCATTCTCTCGTCCTCGTACCCTTTAGGGCTACTTTTAGCCGCTGAGGCACTGAGTGCGGGCTCAGTATGTCCTCCTCCGAACCCCATCAAACTGTCCCGCTCAAAACTAGTGAGGTACCGAAGTTTGCCCGTGTTCT